CTCTGGGGCACCTGGTGCTGGCCATTGTCGGTAGACAGGATACTGGGCTAGATGGACCTTTGGTCTGACCCAGTACGGCCGTACTTATGTTCTTATGTACTCAATTTTCTTTTTTCTTTGGTTAAATACCAGGTGTAAGATATACTCACCACCAGTAGTAGCCCCTTATGTTAGGGTGAGAGCCTGTAAGAAGTCCATATCTGTGGTTCTCCTGCTAGCCATCTTCTTCTCTCCAGTCTTCTGTAGCTCAGCCCTCCAGCCAAATCACAGAAAGATCTGTCCTTTTCTGGAGTAATGGAACGTCCAACTGAAAGTCTAAGGCCACGTCTCCACTTGCGGGAAAATTGACATTGAGGCGGTTAATCTTCCGGCATTCAATTTAGTGGGTCTAGCATAGACCCAGTAAATTGAACGCTGAGGGCACCCCATCGGTGCCAGTACTCCTACTCCTGATGAGGAGTAAGGGAAGTCAACAAGAGAAGTGCTCCCGTTGACCTCCCACTGTGAGGACAGCGCCAAAGCTTGGCTTAAGGTATGTTGACTCCTGGTACATTTTTTACGTAGTTGGAATTGCATACCTTAAGCCAACCTTCCCCCATAGTGTGGATCTGGTCTAAGCATCCAAATAATTCTAAATAATTGTGAGTTTTCCCCTCATAATCTTCCATTCACAGAGATCATGGAAGTTCTCCTAGGGAATCTCCCTGATCCTTGTGGGCTCTAGCTGAGAATCACAGGACTCTGTGCTGTTCCTTGAAGTAGTCCTCCCTGATTTCCTACCTATTTAAGCCTTGTCACTGGTCTCACTTACATAGAAGCTTGTCTCTGCTCACTGTGGGTTCTCCTACCTGCAGGAGAGTCCTGCCTTCTCTGCAGCCTCTCCTTCCCTTTTTCTTCTTTTTTCCTTCCCATGGTGAAGCAGGCTTGACTGGATAGTCTATGTCCACCCATCAACAACTATAATTCCTAAATACTAGGCAGTTTATATTATCTTCCCTGTGTCTTTCAAGTCAAGTAGTAATAATCCCTTTCTGATATCCCATTTCCCTGGTATTTTCACTAAATAACATAAGAATTACACCGTTTAAATTCTTCAGAAAAGTTTTCCTGTTCATTTTCCCCTCATCAACCCGTAAAAAATGTTCAATTTTCTTTTCTTTTATATGTATGGACATAATCCATCTTTCTGTTCATCCATTCAAAAAGATTTTTGTTTACACCACAATGGCCATTTAGTACTGTAAACCAAATCAATTAGTTTTTCCTACCGAGGCCCTGAAATATGTCATTATCTTCAACTCCAGAGGACAATTTTTAAAACATTTATTTTCATTGATCCATTTTTTCCTATTTCTCTGTTTAATTTTTTTCTATACTAGTCTTTTGAATTCCAGTGTACTCTAGGACCTCACTATTTCATTCCTTACAATTCCTACATCCCTTTTAGCTGTTTTGCCCAGCATTTTGTTTTCTACTATCTCAGTATGTGCTGGGATGCAGGCTAATGCTGCATGTATTCCCATCTGTACAGTTATTAGAAATATAGTTTAGTTGAGTAAATCACTTCTGCTTTCAGAGACTCCTTTTTTTTATTGTTCTAAGACCTGATATTAAGTCCAAAAAATGACCACCACTACTGGGCATACATCCCAGATCCACTTTAATACCAGCATTGCTGCTGCTGTCTCAGCTGTCATGTCAGTTACAAAATTGGATATTCTTTTAGATATACTAATTCCTAATTTTCATGTACAGTATGCTGTTCCTACTTTTCCTGTTTTTCATCCCTTTTTTGGGTCTAATTATAGAGAGTTGACAAAAAATAACCCCACATTTGATCTATATTCTGGTATATTTAATCTTGATACCTATTGCCTCCTTTTTAACCCACATGTATATAAAATAAATCTAAATCCACATTTGGACATGTGAATTTCCATCTATAACTATTTTCAGATTACTAAAACTTCTGATTTCATTTAGCTTTTCCTTGTCTTTCAACTCAATATTTTTACTCAAGTGACATCTGGAACTCTAACATTGTGTGCTATAGGGTATCTGTTGAACTCCCCACAATCATGACATATGTATTAGATGCTTCCATCTTTGCAATTCCCATTTAGTTTGGCTCAGAAAGTTAAGTCCAATAATTTCATTTATGTGCAACTGGCAATTCACTAGCAACTCCCCGTAGCACGTGTTGGTGTCATACATGCACCTCCCACAAATTTCTGTGCTTGTATTAAATCAAATTGCTAAAGTTCTGATTTTGATGCCACTCTAAAAAGCTTAGCAGTTTTAGTTGATACATGGTCTGATTAATGCTCTGTATTCCTTCATCAATGTTTTCTTATCTGTCTTCCAGTTAGTCCCAGCAATACTTATAAGCAGGTTGAGCCTTCCTTTGAATTTATGTTTAACACAGTCTATATGTTTTTTCCAAAATAATATAGTATCAGTATGACTCCTAGAAATTTAAATCTTTTAACTATATCTATTTATTCTCCATACAGATAATTCCTTTCCTTTGTAGCTTTTTGTAAAGATCAGTCTTTTGATTTTATCTATGAAGAACTTGAAACCCAATGTATTTCCCAATCTTTTCTGCCACCTCAATATTCCTGCTCCTCACCCATCAGCACAGTCATCTGCAAATAGTGTGACACATTTGTTTTGAAAGATCATTTATCATATCAAATAATGTCAAATTAACCACACTTCCTATGGTGTGCCATTTTTAATATTATATTTGACATAACTTTTTAACTGTGATCTACTTAGTCCTTTTACTTAAAAATTCTATAGCCCATACATACATTTTACCCCTTGTCCATTATGTACCTACTTTGTACAATCAGCATTCCCTCTGGAATGCTGTGCACATTTTAAATAACTAAAAAACCATCAATCAACTCTTTCTCATATTCTTTTGTATTTTTGTTTCCAATTTAACCATGTGCTCAATGATCCATCTTTCTATCCTAAGCAACCCTGCATTTTATCTATAATGCCATTGTTGTCCAAATATCCTCCCTGGGTTCTCCTCTCTGTTTGCAATCTTTTCCTAACCCTTTCACAGATTGAATCGCTAATTATTATTATTAATTGCCATATTACCATCAGATGGAAATTTAGTTTCTTGGTCACAAGCAAGGCTTATCTTAAAGGGCCAACTAGCTTGTGATGTCATGAAAATAAAAAATACGTAACATTTCATTAATAAAAGTTAAAGTCTGAGAAACAAATCATTGAGAAGTCTAACTGACTTCCAGAATTAACACAACTTTAATTCTGTTCCTCTACATATACTAAAACAGCAATACTCCGACTGAGGCTTAAGAGGTATGACTAGTTCCATTGGCTCTTTGCACACATGATATTAAAACACTGTGCAATTTAATTAATCAATCAAGACGCTTTCATTATGTTATTAACCAATTGCAACTGATAAAATAATTATACTTGGTCTGTTCATTTTGCTGTGAGAATAATATCTATATAGATGTAGATATATAATTCAATATTTCCCCCGTCATACTGTTTAAATATGAACATATAGCACTGTAGAAAATAAAAAATGAATTCACACTTCTGTTAGTTTTGGGTAAGGTTGATCTCTAATTTGCTTCCTGAACATCTGAAGTTTGAGTCTGAGTATCACTGCCCTAAAATATAGTCTCTCTGGTCAATTGTCATTATAATTAATATTTGGGCAAAGTCATCCTCTGTTACGCTCCCGGTTTACATCAATGCAGTTGAGCAGATCTGAGCATGTGGTTTTGAAAGGGTGGTTGTTAAGATTAATGGACATATTCTCTTGATGGATCTGCCTACTATTACAGGTGACTACATACAGACAGGGATGGCCCTAGACTAGCTGCCAGCAGCTGGTGCCCTAGCTGCCATGCAATCGGTGACCCCACCTCCAAACTCCTCAATGATATTGCGCCACCATTTGGCGCCCTATTTAACTTGGCCCCCTGGGCGACCGCCTAGTTCACCTATATGGACAGGCCGCCCCTGCATACAGACCATGAGAGTGGAGAGGAGAAATATAAGTTAGATAACAAAGAGATGTTCAGGGATAACCCAGCAGAAGCAGAGTGACTATTTCAATTATTCTCTTCCTCTTCTCCAGTTTTAATAACCAGAGCTACATATTCTTCTACACATGCAACATTTCCAGTGTTAGGGAACAGAATGACCCATGAAGAAGCTTACGCAGGCTACAGCAATCAGCATTGTCATTGGCTTGAATTGTTGTAGTGGTGATAAAAATGAATAATCAGCATATTATTTTCACCCAAGAGATTATTCTTTCTTGTTTCTGACCTGAAGTGTCATCCAAAAGACCTGCTTTTGCTGAGTTCATAAAAAACTGATTTTGAACATTTAATTAAATACCATGCTGGAACACAATACACAAGGCCACTATCTGTATCTTCCTGTTTTGTATTTTTGCTGTTTTGTGTGTGTGCTTTGTTTTTTTGAGTCTGTATTTCCTCAAGCAGTACAAATGAAAAGTGTATTTGTTTTTAGGTGCCTTGCAAGAAAGACGTGACTAAAAAAGCCTTGTCCCCAAAACCATATTGTACTTAATAGGATAAAAAGTAGCATTTTCAATAATTGTACTACAGTCAGCTATGAAATTATCAGTTTTTAAAGAAACAAATTTCAGCACCCTTGTATGTTTGGAATAATATGTTATGGTATACATGGAATGTATAACTCATCTGTTAAGTTTTCTTTCTGAAATAATTATGAGCATAAGAAACGTAATACATTATTACTGTGTATATTGTATTAAGACAGCTTTTGGTATATTAAGTTTTGGTAATGATAGATATATTGTTATAACTTAGTAATATTGTCTTTCCCCATTAAAATGTGTGAGTATACATATTGGCAGAACAAAAATATGTAAAAGGTTTCATACACACTTTTACAAATCCCTGCTGTTTCACACAATTTGATCTCTTTGTTTCTATCTCTTTTTTTAGTTTGCTCCCAGTTTTCAAGAGGCGTCTTTGCTATTTTTGGATTCTATGACAAGAAGTCAGTAAATACCATAACATCGTTTTGTGGAACTCTTCATGTCTCCTTCATAACTCCCAGTTTTCCAACTGATGGAACACACCCATTTGTCATTCAAATGAGACCGGACCTCAAGGGAGCTCTTCTTAGCTTGATTGAATACTATCAGTGGAACAAGTTTGCATATCTATATGACAGTGACAGAGGTAAGATACGGTATAGGTTTTGCTAGATATACCTAACTAAAATGCTAAAGCAGTGTTATGAAGACAAGCAGACCAAGGAGAAATGTTTCCCCTCTTGTGCCTCTTTAACAATATAACACTTGCATTTTAAGAAAAGAGGTTTATCTGACTGCTGTATATGATTAAAGAATAAATGTGTTGAATTGAGAATGGAATAGTAGCAGCATCTAACAGAATTGTGGCCATGGACTAATAAACATTGATGCAATAATAATAATGTCTTTGGAAAATAGTTCTCATAGAAAATCTATTTTAACAAATTTTACAGAAAAAAAAGCATTTTAATATTTTTTTTAATTGAGACTATTATGGTTGTGTGTGTCCCACCAGTTAAAGGTAGAGAACAAAACCAAATTTCAGTCAGCTTATTTCTCCTACCAAATATCAGTTTTAAATGCAAATAACCCATACGTAGACTGTTATTGCAGTCTTCCCTAATTCTCATAGTCCCAAACAATAAGGGCATGTCTACACAGCAGGGCTAAACCTGAAATAAGCTACAGAACTTGAGCTATGTCAATTGCATAGCTTAACTCAAAAATAGCTTATTTTGGCTATTGGTGCTGCCTACACAACAGGAAGTCTGAGTTAGAGCGTTTTTCTTCTGACTTCCTTTACTCCTCATAAGATGAGGATTACAGGAGTCAGAGTAAGAAGTCCTCCAACTTGACATTATTTCAACATTATGTTGAAATAACTGTTTGCTGTGTAGACGCGGACTATGTTATTTCAGAATAACGTTAGTTATTCCAAAATGACACTGCTGTGTAGACATAACCTAATAGTCAAATTTATGAGGATCCAGAACTTCATCTCATTGCAAATCCCACCCACCACTACTCATAGTCTCAATTAGACTTGGTGGTAGCCTAGGGCATTAAGGGGTGATTCAGTCCCACAGATTCACTCCAGCCGGGATGCAAAATCTGTAACTGGAGAACCCAGAGTAAAACAACTCTTGCTCTCTAGACACAATCCTTTCCCAACCCGTCTGTTAAACTTTGCTTACTGTGCCAAGTTGAAAGTCCACCATCCACAGTTTCTGATGACCCATTCACTCCAGGCATGTCCTACACAATTCCTATGCCCTTTCATGATTATTTTTATTACATTTCTCATTTTATACAATGAAAACAAACAATTTGCAGAATGGAAAGTTGGTAGGCATGATAATTAGTTGTATTTTGGGGAAAGGTTTTTGACTATCTTTGTTGGAATTTCACCTTTCTCTCTTTGTCTCCAGTTGTTCCTTGCTTTTTTTCTTACTACTCATTCTTCTTAATCTTTCTGTTTTCATTGTGCCCTTTGTCTTTGAAAGCAATTGTGTGCTGATTTTTCAGAATGTTCATGGATCAAAAACTTTGCTTGGGGTTGCCATGCCATAAATAAATGTGCATAAAATGGTTAAGTTGTAATTAGGTTTTACCTACATACTTTCAGATGTTGCCACCTTCCTCTGGTCTGGGCTGTATTGTGTTGTTCAAAAAAATAAAAAGGGGCTTTTTCAAGACGCGTGCGTGCGTGTGTGTAGCGTGTAGCCCTGCAGTTAAAGTAAACTAAAGCTCTCACATGACTTCTAAAATGACTTAATGTCATGCACTATGATCCCTGAGCTTTCTCTTCTCTTAGGGTACGTCTATGCTGCGGCACTATTTTGGGATACTTCTGGTATCCCAAAATAGCAATTTGACTCTTTTAAACAAGCCCACTCAAAATATTTCAAAATAGCTTTCTAAATAATGGGCTCACTATTCTGACGTTCCTGTAAACCTTGTTCCATGAAGATTAAGGGACATTTTGGAATAGTACTCTATTTCGAAATACACTTGAAATAAGCTATGCAATTTCAGTAACTCAAATTGTGTAGCTTATTTTGAGCTACAGGTACAGTGTAGACACACTGGATTCTCTTCAAGTTCATATTAAAATCAGAAACATTCTTTGCCTTTCCAAAAAGGGCAAATAGCTTATTCAATGCTCATTCAATCAGCTAACATTACAGTGTGTGCCAGCATGTGAATTCTGTTTCGGAAAATTCTTCAGAGCATCCACTGAAGTATTGAAGTAGAGAAGGTGATAGGTGCCATTTGTAAATGCTCTAGGGGCATGAATATGAAACACTTGCTCATGTTGATTAGTGAGTTACTCATGGAGTACTCTCATAGAATTCAATGGCAGCTACCATGGTAATCAAGGACTTTGGAATGTGGCAAAAATGGACCCTAAATCAGAAGCCATTTTTCAGGTCAAAACACTATCATCTCAGCGACCAGAGCCATGGACATGTTTGTAAAAAGGATACAGGCAGTCCCCGGGTTACGTACAAGATAGGGACTGTAGGTTTGTTCTTAAGTTGAATCTGTATGTAAGTCGGAACTGGACCATGGTAATCAAGGACTTTGGAATGTGGCAAAAATGGACCCTAAATCAGAAGCCATTTTTCAGGTCAAAACACTATCATCTCAGCGACCAGAGCCATGGACATGTTTGTAAAAAGGATACAGGCAGTCCCCGGGTTACGTACAAGATAGGGACTGTAGGTTTGTTCTTAAGTTGAATCTGTATGTAAGTCGGAACTGGTGTCCAGATTCAGCCGCT